ATTATCATTATAATTGTTAGTAGTGTACGTGTATCCATTATTGTAGTTGTTATAATTATCCTTTTGCTCCTTGAGATCTTCAGAGTCTTCTTCCTCCTCGAACTCCTCCGGTAACTTGTTTTTTTCTTCCTCAAATTTAGCCATCAATTTCTCGAACTCCTCGTCTGTGGCTGTAGACGAAACCGGCCATGACTCCTTGGTTTGAGGAACCATACCGGAACCTGGCCCGAAAGCCCCGTCACCGAGTCTTCCATTGGCTTGGGCTACGCCCGGAGCGGGAGCTGGATTTAGATCTTCCTTTTTGTTGTTAGTACGATCTAAGTGAGTGAACTTGCTAAAGAAGAGCTTACCTTCTCTAGCTTCGACATTCTTGTCAATGAAGCAAAAAACAGCAACAAGGAAACAAAAAATTGACTTTATAGCAAATGAAGCCATCAAAGAAGAGAAAAGAGAGTGAGAGATTTTAGGGTTTAAGATGTATTTTGGTGTGTGAGTGAGTTTATGTATAAATAGAATTAAGATGTAGTAACATGGGTCGAGTAAACATGCGAGGATTAAGGAGGGACATTCGTCATTCGCGGGGAGTGATTTTAAATTAAAATACGAAAAGGTAAAAATAAAGTTAAGAATAGTGGGACTTGTCTCATAAATCGAAATGGAGATTTTGCATATGTTAGCTATTATTATATTTACTTGTTTGTTGGTCAAAGAAGAAAAGAACCCAAGAAAACAACTTACAATTTATTAGTTGTGTTTATACATGCCTTTTGACTTTTCTTTTCACTGTTTGGTGGTTGAGTTAGTTGAAAATGAAGATTACAATTAGATCATGTTTTGTGGTAGCAAAACTTAGATAATGTCAAAGAATATGTCTATATAACTTTAGATAAATCTCTAAAAATGTCACCTTTTATGATTTATCACAAGTTTTGATAACCATGATTATCAAACTTATATTTAGCAGAAAAAATGATTATCAAACTTAATAAATTCTTTTAATAAATTTCTGGTTTGTCATTGAATATTATTTGATAAATAGATGAGAGGGGGTTTCATGTTACAATTGAAAGTTCGTTTAGACATTAAAGAGAGAAAGCAACGACGAAGAATGGTGTGGGTCCAATTCGGAAATAAGAAAGAGTTTAGGCATTTACAGATAACTATTTAAGACTTTTGGGCCCATGGGACAATGTGTCATGAACCATTGCGTAGGGTGAAATCGAAGCTACCACACAGCTTTTGTCCCGTGATCGTCGGAAATAATTTATTTGATAGTACTTTCGACGTTTGTCGGGAAATAAATAATAAAAAAATATTTTAGCGTATTTAATAATTATGTACGTTACTCTATGGACGATATAGATTTCTTAAGATCCAACAGTTTAACAAGCCCATGTATCAGTCCGGCCCATTTTTAACATGCCCTGGCCCGTGTCATGACGCCGTTAAGTGACGGTAGTCTTATTGACTAAAAAAAGACGTATTGACTTATAACAGTTGACTTTTTTCGTTTTAATAGACTTAAACGCAGCCGCATCGTTGTCAACACGGTCTTAACAACGCAAATCTCGCAAGAAAAACTAAACCAAGAACAGACTTTGTTTCATGTTGATACATAGAGTCTTCGCTTCATGTAGTTACATCTCACTTTCGCAAAACGCACCGTTCGTAAAGCTCAACCAACACACTCTTTCTTGGATTCTTTAACCCAACCAACTCAGCTCCAAACCCGTGTTTCAGTATCTCATCTCTCAGCTTCTTCATTGTGTATTTCGAATGATCCATGCCTGTGGAAGAAGAGGCTCCAGCTCCAGAGCCCGTGCTTGTGCATTTTCTCGGGGTCATTGCAATTATAGCTTTCCCGCTCTCTTGTGAAACCGTATCTTCTTCGGTCTCTTGGGCGTAATCCGAACCAGAACAGGTTATACTTGATTCTACTTTCAAACGCTTCACACGCTGCAGCGGTGTTGCTTCATCCGAAACCATAAAAGAGTTTTCTTGCTGCATCAAATTCACCCGCATGTTTTTTTCCTTCTCGGCGTTGAAGATTCTGTGCAATTCAGCAACCGCTTCTTCGTTTTGTTTAGCCCTTGTCTCCAACATTTCAGAAAGATCTATCTTTTGCCTTTCCAGATCTTCAATCCAACCCTTAGCTCTGCCAATTTCAATGCTTTTCTCCTGCAACAATGCGTGGAGTTTGTTTTCGTTGCTACGGACCGATTCCACTTCCGTTTTCATCGAACTCACAAGTTCTTTGGCTGTTGCAGCCTCAGTTTCCGCATCTTTTAGCTTCAAGCAGATTTGTTCAAGTTCTTTTATGCGGCTTTTAGCTCGATCGATTTCAACGCATTTGTCCTGCAACGATGTCTGGAGCTCGTTCACATTCATCCGAAAGGCTTCCGCTTCCCTTTTCATCGAGTCCTCAAGTTTCTTAGCTGCTGAAGCTTCACTGTCCCCACTATCGAGCTTCGAGCAGACTCTTTCTAGATCTTCGATACGACTCTTAGCTTGGTCAATTTCATTGCATTTCTCCAGCAGTGACGTCTGAAGTTTGTTCTCGCTGTTCCGTGCTGCTTTAGCTCCCATTCTCAATGAATCCACAAGTTTCTTAGCCGATGAAGCCTCATTTTCCGTATCTGTTAACCTCAAACAGAGTTTTCCAAGTTCCTCCATTTGTGAAAGAAACTTCTTCTCTAAGTCATCTTTCTCTCGTTTTAATGTCTGCATCTCAGTTTCACGCGATTCCGCTGCAGATTTCACCAATTCATATTTCTCATTCAGAGCCGAGATTTGAAGCTTCAAGTCTTTTGCTTCCAAAGAAAATTCGTTCACCTTCAACTCACCTTTCTGCAAAGAAACAACAATCAAAAAACGCCTTACAGCACACCGATGCAGGCTCGAAGAGTAATGTAATGGCTTCTTATGAGCTCGTTAAGGTCTTCACAAGAATCTTAAGCAATTAGGAAAAGAGACTCGACTCTATCAGAGAAGCTCACCTTTAATTCTGCACGCGTAGAGGCCAATTGCTGCTCCAAAGTCGCAAGCTTTGCAGCTTTCTCGGTGACTATCTTCTCCTATCAGTAACCACGAATCAGAGTCACAACTTAATCAGTTTGTGAAATCGGCCAAATGGTTAAGTTATTGTGTTCGATTATAGATTTATCATATATGATTTGTTTCTTTTAATTAAAAAAAAAAGCCTAACCTTTTCATCCAGAACACGGGAGAGTTCAGCTCTCATGCCATCTTCAATGGCTGAAGCTTGCTTCAACTTATCTTCCATTGCCGCTATCTTCTCTAAAACAGCTTTTCGCTCACTAACAATATTCTCGTATTTAATTTTCCAATCAATTGACTTATTGCACCTAGTGATCGACGCATCTACTCCGACCCGACTGTTGCTGCTCACGCCATTCTCATCCAATGTCTCCTCATATTTCCGTTGCCACTCAGATGCCTCTAGTCTTGTGGACCCCAACACATCCATGAGATTCGAGTGTTCATGGTGAATCGACTTACACTTACTTTCCAGGTCATGAATCCGGTGTTTGAACTGATCTGAGAGCTTATTCATGTCATCAATGGCGCTCTCGTAACGCTTCTGATATTCCTTCCTCATTTTCTCTCCTCCTTCAAGCTGTTTCTTTAGCGAATCCATCGTGCTTTCCACCGAACGGTGTTGCAGCTTGAGTTTAGAGTTCTCAAAAAGAAGTTCATCCATTTGTTTCCCTCTGCGATGGACTAGAATGTCCTGTATACTGGCAATTAACAACTAAGAAAGGTTAAATTTCCATGAAGACCAAACATATATAGATATAAAAGAGCAATCTTTAGCTATCGGAAGTGTATAGACGAAACAAGAACCTCTTTCTCAAAAAAGAAGACAGTGTTTGCCATTTCATAGGACCATTGATAGATACTTCATACTCTGCAACAGCGGTATCAAGAGCCTGTTTCATACAGATTACAACATTGTTTTTAGTGAAAGTAAAACTCACTCCAGGCTTTATCATGTCTATATCGTGATCAGAAATTCAGTGTTAAGACGGGAAAAAAAAAAGAGAACCTTGATCATTTCGCCTATATTAGCATCATGAGAACAAGGCAATGCCCATAATTTCTTGCCCATATCTTCTATAGCACTACAACATCTCGAATATGCTTCCAGATTTGCCACTCGCTTGTGATCCTGAAAAAAAAAACACTATTTAGCAAAAAAAGCTTTATAAAAAAGAGAGCTGGCTTATTCGCAAAACAGTATTATATATACAGAGAGATAAAGAGTTAGAGATGACCGACTTCAAATGCCTTCGCAAAGAAACTCCAAAGGTCTCTTTTGTATTTCTGTTTTATTTCAGCGTTTCCAATGGAAGATTCACAAAACGCGGCCAAAGCTTTGACGACCGCCTTATTGTGTGCTTCTATCAGCATCGACTGTAGATCACTATGTTAATAGTTTATCTTACTACTGCATCCAAGTATTGTTGAGTGTTACACGAATTAAAACTTACTTCTTCAGGAGTCTCTGGATGATCGAAAGACGATATGTATACCTCAGTTGCTGTATCACGGGCCCTTAGACCTTCTAATTCCTCTACAGACTGCAACCAAATACAGATGATGCATTTACAATACGCAGACGAATTCGTTGGAACACTGCAAATAATCCATAATTGACAAAAAAAATTACCAGCCATAAAGAAGAAATTTTAGGCACGACGTTGTTGTTAACATTTTCTGAAAATGACTTCGTGAAACAAGCAACAGGCGGCCCTGTGACAATGGTATCGCCTCTTTTCTTAGGCCTTACTCTCTCAGAGACAAACTTCACTAGGCCATTTACACCGTAGAGAAGCTGGGGTCGCAGCGTTTCGAACTATTCAAAAAAGAGTACACAAGTTTGATCAGACAAGAGAAGAGAAAAGATAAAAGGACTGAGGCTTAATCAGCGGGTAGAAATCCAGCTTTATTGGTCATACTAAGGGCAAGAGTAAAGCCCTTTTGGTAATAATAGCCAAAAGAAAATCTTTAAGAATAACAAGGAGAGGGTCAACCCACTTTGTTATTCTCAGTTACATCTTGTCCGCCTTCCACTGTTTCTGAGTTAAGGTCCTGATAATAGAGAAGATTAAAAACTCGTTCAGAAACATAGCTGATTCTAAACCCTTTAAAATGTATTTTGATAAGGGAATTATCACCGTCATAAGTTGTACAAACATGGGAGAGAACTGCCCAAGCCCGGAAAATGTATAGTCCTTAGCTTCTCCAACGTGATCGTTCTTGCTAATCTCAAGTAGACGAGAGAGATCAAGTGTAATGTCATTTACACCAAGTGTCTGAGAGATGAAGCAGAGTTTTCGTAAATACATAGCACTAAGTGTGTGTTTGAAAGAAACTTTCTTCAGAAATGAAAATCAGTGATAGGTATTTACCGGACCATAGATAAACACGCTTGATAGGAGGATAGCCAAGGCGAATATCTGGCTGTTGCGGATAGCCTAACATCAAATCAATTTATAAACTGATTATTCCTAAGAAAGAAAAAAAACACTACTTTTTCTTTAAAAGACTTGAATCTTTGATGAGATAATAAAAAAAAGACTAACCAGTACACCATTTGAGTCTGCTCCTTCAACATCGAGTAACACTAAACTATATTCGGTCCCATCTTCTGCAATCCTCTTCACCGGCTCAATCCACATCCATATATCTCCGGCGCATGGCCTGTGAAGAGTTTGAACTTCAAATCCAATGCTTCTGCTAACAAGCTATACATCAACACTCAAAATCAGACATTTCCACAAATAAGAACCAAACTTCCCCTAAATCATCAGAAATTATCATCACAATTACAAACGAAACAAATGGGAAAATGTGCAAGTTATACTACTAAAACCCTAAACCCTCGATCGTAGTGAATAGACCCAGAAAGAAACCTGATTCCAGATGAAGCTCTTGCCACGGAGAGCTTTTCCGTAGAGTGAGACAACAGCGACAGGACCCTTAAGCTTCTGAAGAGCGCCGATGGCTTCCGGGTCCGTCTTCAACTTCCCATTCTCATCAACGTATACTAGTTGGACGGCCCGACCCGAACCCGAACCGGACTCCGCCGTTAGGTTTCTCATGAAGAACCCCAAAGCAAAGGCGTCTGTTTTCTTCCTAGTGATATTGATGAGTCACTGAGTGAAGATCCTCGCTCCGATTCCACAATGGGGGGGTTTGATCTAATTCCGATCGTCCACTGTAGAGAATAAAGTTGTGAACTTTCGGAATTGTATTTATCAAAGTCTGAAAAGATTTGAACTTGGAGAGTGGTGTTACTTACCAAAGGGTAAATGTTTTCAGGACACTGGCCGACTCGGGGTTTGTTTTTGCTTTTTTGTAATTTCTTAACCGAATTTTATAATTTTCAAAAGGATCATATAATGAGATATATGATCAAACAATTTGTTAGTTATTTTTGTTAATATTGTAAGATAACCAGTTATAATGAAATGAATATATGCTTGCAATCTTGCATATTTTTTTAGTTGCTATACTACAAAATTAAAAACTGACCTACTTAACAAAAAAAAAAAAAAAATTCCAAATGAGAGTTTTCAATTCCGAAACCATCTCCAAGTCTTTATGTGCAATTTCGATGCTTCATGGAAATCAGATGAAAAGTGAAAGCATCTCCAAGGTTTGCTGGATTCTGCAACACGGTCTCAAGGCTATCGTTGCCGCCCTTGGTTGCAGAAGGAGAAGCACTGAATTGGGCTGTAAGGGCTATTCATAAATTTGGGCTTTACTAAAGTTGCATATATATGAGATTGCAGAGATTTGGTCTTGGGCTTATTTAAGAATCGTGGCCCAATAAGTCAAGTCGCTTGAAGAGGAATTCTACGTACATTCTCTCCCTCTCGTTCCAACCTCCAACTGATTAAAATTTTTTTTTTATCAAAGATCCATAAGTGTAAGCCCATTTAGCTATACCAAAATTTTCACCCCAAAGCACCCGAGCAAGTGAGCAGCTCAAGACGATAAATGACACACATTCATATATTTTCACCTCTATCAATGTAGCAAAAATGAAAACACTAGAACTCTTTTATCTTTTCTTTTTATATCTCTCTCTCTTCATTTTCATTTTCTTATTATTTTCCTCCACTATGAATTGCTCTGCAAGTTAAGCTATAATTATTGAGCTCAAAAGCCTCCATCTTTTCTTTAGTCCCCACCACTTTCCGATCCACTCTTTATATATGCAAATATGCAATTATGCATATACGAAATTCATTTGTGCGTACGCGCATACATTTTCTAAGTACTTATTTATAAAAAAAAATAAATCAAAGACCTTTCTAAACCTAGTGAATATAGTGAATATGCATGAATCTTAACTTTTCTTCGACGAATATGCTAATTTTAATACCAATGCG